CACAACGACAGGGTTATAGGGTTACAGGTATCGGCCCCAGCCCACCCAATCTCACCCAAATCAGTAGCTCAACTTTATTAAAAATGAAACAACTATTTGATTCTACACTCTTCACAGGGCTATCAGTTCTCTCGTTTAACTCAACAGCATAAAGCCAAACACCTCTAAACCCACCGACCTCAATCTTCTTCCCAAATAACACTCAATATCCAAATCAGAATCTTTTGATAACTTTCTTCCTCTTGGCAACCTCCAAGAATGTCAGGAGATTTTAGTTGCTAGGTTATTACGTCAAGTAAATATTAATCACGAGTTTCAGAATGACCTTTGACATTTTGGTACTAAGATGTTCGATATAGTTCGGATTTAGATCTTCAGACGTCAATATAAAATACCTGTATCGTAATTACATGTATATATTCAGACGGTGTAATTGTTTGAAATGTTACTACAAAGTTTTGATCTACTCCAGGACGTCTCTCAGACAGATGCCATGTCGAATTGAAACGGAAGTGACATGAAGGAGATCTTGCTCAAAATATAAGCTAATAAACACGGTAAATGTAATATTATCGGCTTCTAAAATTCAATTGAAGATGTGAACTATGGCGTTTATAAATGAAATGAAATGAATGGAGTTTTACGTCTTACTTGTCTGCACCATGTGGGTTAATTCATCAATAAATTGTTCATGCAATATATATATCTTACAGTAGACTAACAGGTCTAACTAAATCCGCATAACAAATTGCTAAAGTAGACGATGCCGACCATAAAACTATGTACGTAACAAATTAAACAGTGACGTTTCTAAAAATCAGTACGTAGGGGCAACAAAATTGTTAAGGGAGGGCAATAGGTAATTTTTAACAATGTTTACAATGAGTTGGGGCCAAACAAAACCTCCAGTGGTTCCCAACCTATTTCAGTCTTCACATCCCTGGAGCAATCACGTGGAACTTTCACACCAAATATTTGTTTCATCCACATTTGCAGTATGTGATGATGTGAGGTGATCTCTCAACTCAAAATAAATTCTTCTCCTACACCAGAAGCCGCACCCCTGACACCCTAGTCCCACACCCCAGGGGTGAAAACATCTCAGGTTGGGAAACTGTGATGAAAGTGAATACCGATTAAAACATCCATATCATGAGAGTTAGCGGCGGCTGTCGACAATAAAACTATACCACGTCAGAGGTGACGGGTAGTGTATATTAATGAAAACTATACTTTGATGTTGACATTAATGTTTTTCTAGAATAGAGGATGACGACAATAAAACTATACCACGAGGATGAGTATGGCAAAGATACCACGAGAAGATTATAACATAGAGGGCGCATATAAACGGAAGGTCGACGACAAAGTTGTGCGAGAGATGATGTCGACGATCAAAGGATACAGATGTCGCGTATAAAACTTTATCTAATAAAAAAAAGATTGCTTACCTTTTCTAGTGTACCACTCATTATCCGTTGATTATTTAGACGGAAACGATGGGTCAAATCCCTATTTTGAAAAAGGTTACACGTCAGCGTGCTACAGCACTAAAATTACGTTGAGTGTAGTAAAAATAAATGAATGAATGAAGTAATGAATGGAAAACTCATTTAAATATTGTCACTATGTAAATAGTTCGCTACTCGAGTAGGCTATAATGTCTGCTGTACACGTTTTAAAAGTTTAAAAAGTCAAAGCAGCTTGGTCGATAAGGACAAACTGACAAAGTCTATTAACACAAGTACCACTCTAGCACTAGGTCACAATTATTTCACATGTACCTTATTCTAAACAAGTTAAATATTTTAAAAACAAAGCTTACTGAAATAAATCTCAACTAAAATGATCTGAAATAAAATAAGGTTCGCCTACACTAAATGGGCCATATGGCACCTCGACAATATTGCAACTTTTTGATAATGCACTGTATGACTGACAACTAAATTGGAGACTTCGCTTTATAAAAAAATTCTTTCATTGCCTTTTCTATAGCTATTAAGATTAAATCCCTTACATAGCGTTTATAATCAAGCATATCTATTGGCCTGTTAAATTATGCTACAATCGTGTACATTTCTAGTATAATATCTAATAATACATAGGATTGCTTTTAAAGGAATAGTCAGCTTTATGATAAAATTCAAATTTCTGATGGAAAACCCTTTAAGACATAATAATGTTTCAATATGGTACCCCTAGGATCAAACAGAATGATTTTATTGGACTATATCTAAAAGTTTTTTTTTATTTCAGAAGCAAGGCGAAGATTTATGTTCTGTTTATTTCTTTTTTTGTTCGGATCTAAATATACTAGTAGAAAGTCTCTTAATGTTTCTTATATGGGTAACAACTTTTTGTCAAAATCAAATTAAAACGCTTACTTGCATTACAAGATGACTTGACAAAAAGTAAATCCTTTTCAACCTATTCGGATTTCAGGACTTATAATCAACTTAACTTTTGTTTTTAAAAAGCCTATGACGTATATCAAGAACATATTGGTGGATACAAATTAACTTACTTCAGTGGCATTTAGTAACTTGAATATATGAACACAATTTTATGGATAACAATTACTTTAATAAATAACTTGCGACGTTTCGACGAGGATACTTTCGTCTTTATCAAGCAATTGTGTTCATATATGGATGGATACAAATTAACTTCAGATCAGACCATTATTCAAAATGAAAAGTTATAGCTATTTGTTCTTAGAGAGACGTGCGCTCTTTTGGGGGTTGGTTTGAGTCTTGAATATATGCAAATAGTCTTCGGAAGTACTAGAAATGTACGAAAATCGCATAATTCCTTCAAAAATGCATCAAACTACGAATAGCAATTTCTATTTCTATAAATTTCTTTTCTATATATATGGCAGAATCTCAAGAAAAGACAAATCGTCATTTTAATATTCAAAAGCGAATAATTCTGGACACATATTGATTTGAAGGCTCAAAGTTCGACGGTGGGTGGTGAACCCTATTATTGACTAGCTTGGCTAAAAAGTCTGTTTCAGACAATAAGGTTTGATTGGATGGTCAAACGGAGGGCGAACCTTTCGCGAATGATAAAGTCCTAACTGATCACCAATGGCGAAGTGTTTAGTTGTAAAAGAAATTGCTTTTGTTTTACGATTGTAAAGAACTGTTTCGAAAAATTTATGTTAGAGACATTGATAGCACCTATTTGCAGCGTGCAAGTTTCAGTCAGGCGTTTGTGTTATGGTTCTTGTAATTTTGTTTAACTAAAAAAGGTTTAAACCTCTTTCACGAACCCTTTAATCATCGATGTCATATCTGGACTGACACAAAGCTGTCTGAACTTTGGTGGTAGGCTACAATTTACTGAACTGAACATTCAGTCTGAAAACTGCTTTAAATAGTTGAGATCGACCTCCAGCACCCAATGAAGCCTATAATTATATCCTTTAAATATTGAAAACTACACGTATATCATTGTTTCAAGGAATATAATTTTAGATGTTTCATAACACAATATACTGAAGGCCACACGGTGTGTTTATTTTCGTTCTAGATCACAATAACAAATCAACTTTGATTAATATGAATCTAAAGACATTGGGTATGACAAAATCCAATATTTCAACTTATTTTTCTCTTCTCATTTATCTGGATAGTGACAGGAAGAAAACATATTGGTGTAAAACAACATAATACAGACCTAACATAGGTCTAAAGGCTATTACCACTGTCCTATAAAAACATCATCATAACATAACTACATGACCCCAAACTGGAACCTGAAAAGTTGACGTAATTCATTTCATATCAATATTTGACTCTAGATAATTATGTAATGGGTCAATGTCGATATACCGTGATCAGGTCGTAAATGACATATATTTCGGTTGTAAATTCCTTTTTGCACTTGCAGTTGAGGTGAAGAGTCGACTTCAGGGTTTCACCAATCACAATGCAATATCCCTTATCTATGAAGAGATAAAATGTAAGGCTTATAGGGCGGACCAACATACAAAATATGGGACATGAAAAATATATATTTTTGCGTGATTAAGTTTGCCTTTATCTTTGTGACAAGTAAACTAACATGTATTTTCCATGTCAAATATTATCCTTTCTTATTACTTATATTTAAATGTTTTAAGAAACAATTTTATAATGTTCATTTTCATAGAGTTTAAAATATGAAGAATTTATAACCACCTACGCCGCCTAATAAAGCGTTCATTGTAATGTCGTTATGTATCATGCACTCTATATAAACATAAAACCTAAATGCACTAAAATAATAATTTTACATGTGTTTATTTCTGCTTTTGACTAGACAAGTGACTTTTAGATTAATTTGAGTTTTATTGTGGACAACATGGTGTTCATCAAATCTGTGGTTTATTATAAAATAATTTTTGATCTTTTAGTATTGTGCCCCAAAAGTTCACTAAAATATGGAGTTTAACATCGCAAATTCGGAAATAGTAGCTTGTGACAAGATCTGTTTTCTGTAACCAGATTGAAATTCTTTAATTAATAAGATGGCGGGGAAACAGTCATGTTAAAGAGCCATGCCAAAAATGATACTCTCTTGGATAGTGGCAGAGGCTCAACTTGATGAATGGGGGCTCGTGGACTCAAATAGGTTTGGACTCCTCCGGGGAAATTGTCGATTACCATATTAAGCTCTCCTGCATTCCGAGACCAGTGTAAGTCGATTTAATGCCTGTTGATATTATTTCTTGGGGATGGGGGCCCTTGGACTTGGCTCAACCGGTCCCTATAGAAGTTGAACCACTGGATAATAATTGGTAGGAAATTGCAAATTGCAATAGGGTTGAATTAAATATTGTCTTAAAACGCTAAAGATGGAACAGGTAGCGTCCCTTTTATAAACATCTTGTGTGTGCGTGCAGCTCTAGATAATTCTATTTAGGCTAATTCATGTTTTGACGCACTTTTCATAACAATAGCCACATATTTAAATGATAAACAAAACGAATTAATTTTGTCATGGGATTTGTAGATTGACCTAGGAGTTCTTGAATAACATTTTAATCATAGTTATGGACATGAGATTGCGGGATAGGCTTTTCTACTTCTAGAAAATTTCTTTTGCGGTCAGTTTATAGTTTAATAAAACAGATTTCAAAAAACGTTTTTGTTTTGCCTTCAGTTATTATAAATCACATATTTTATTGGCTGCAAATACATTCCAAATCAACTTTTATGAAGTCTGCTTTGTATTATTTAGGGGGTTGAATAAACTGACGTGTCTATTCTGTCTTTTTGATTTTATGTAACTTTAATTTGATTGTGATGAACAGATTATATCTAATGTCTGCCTCTACCATGAGAGAATACATTGTATAAATCTCCGTGTTTAGACAAAATATTCATCATTTTAATCAAATAAAAAAATGAAACGGGATTATCTGAATTCTTGTAGAATATGACTTTAGATTAAGGCCAAGGTTAGTATATGTATAGCATATTAATCGGAGCCTTTTGTTTATGATATACTATTCTTGGTAAGTGTCAACAACTCGGACCAAAACAAACTCGGACCACTTTTCATGACACTTTTTTGAGATTCGGGCCAATGTTTTGGTTCGAGTTTTCCTGGTTCCAGAGAAACCCCACCAATGTGATGTTTGTAGAAAATGTTTTTGCACTACAAGTTCACTCCATGTTCACATGAGAGTTCATACTGGCAAGAGACCGTTCAAATGTGGTGTTAGTAAAAAATGTTTTTCTCGGACAAATTGCCTTAAAGAGCACATGTAAATTCACACTGAAATAAATCGCAAAAAACTGTAGACTCAGTAGCAGTGTATGGCCGGGGACTGATTAAACTATTGAATGAGAAATCTTTTCCTCAAATAGCAAACAAAAGTTGCCATGGGATTCGATATCAAATTCAATTTTGTTTGTATCCTTTTATCACGTTTCTATGCCAATGTTTGGGTTGAACAAAGAATAATCATTAAATTTTTGTGCAGGTTAAAACTTGATTGGATTAACGATTAGTTTATTAATGGACTCAATATTCGAGACAGATTGACAAACGAGTTATTCCCCTTCACATCAACACCAGAGGACGCCACATCAAAATACCGGCAGCATGGCTTCTGTAAGTTGAAATTTGTGTGTTTTTGTCGAAATTTACTGATTTAATCATTGTACTTTAATAAACGATTGCTATTTGAATAAAGAAATATCTAATATCTAGATCTAAGGTCTTCAAGAATATTGTGGCGTCTAAGTCACTTCTTTAACGACGTTTCTTTTTGTTCAGTTTTCTGCAGTTACTTTTTTGACTTGTTTTGTTATTGTTGACAACCATTAAATCTTTCATCCTTCAAATTTCGTTCAAATCTCTTGAATAACTATGACAGGGAGGCATTCAATTCTGAATAATATTTTCAAGTCAAGTCAAGCTGAATACAAATACAAATGCTTTGAAATAGTTTAGTGGAAATGGCAAATTTGATAGAAAAACATGAAATAATTAGAGCAGTAATGTAATGAATAATAATGTAAAGATAATGTAAAATACATTGAAATATATTTCCTCTCTAGGTTACAGCAGAGAAAGTTCAGGAAGTGAGAGAGGTAACTAGGATTGAAAGAATCGGTAAGTATAGATCATACCTCTCATTAACTCTGTGATAATATAGGCATTTGATTTTGAAAAGATTTACATTACCACAAAAATGGATTAAATTTGTGCAAACAGTAATTGGCTGTTAATGTATGAATATGATTAACAATAAAGAAGTAGTTCAGCCTGGTTTGGTGTGGTAAACAAGGTGAAGACTGTTATTAAAGTCTACAAACTACATGCCTTTGAATGAGTTATGGTGTAAATTATTCATATATTATAAATGCATCATATTGGCATTGCTTGCATTACCGTATCTCATGTTATATCCTGTAATTTATAATACTAATATAATAAAAAACATCTGTTCTTTCATTGTAGGTGCTCATTCCCATATTCGAGGGTTAGGTTTAGATGATGCGTTGGAAGCTAGAGCAGTATCACAGGGTATGGTGGGACAGGCAGCTGCTAGGAGAGCTGCTGGTGTCATCCTGGAAGTTATCAAGGTATTAGGGCATTTTCTTTCACAACAATCACTTTGTATTTACTCATTTTTATGTCCCAGGTCAGAGACATAGACACACTCTCTGTGTTTTATTAAAGGATTTGGATCTAAGATGTCTACTATTTTTCTAGCCAAAGTGAAATTTTGTTTTTATTTTCTGTATAAACAGGGCAAAATAATATTCTCTATAAAGTGTTATGCAGTGCCTTTTCCATGAAAGGAATTCTCCTTCTCTATGCAAATTTACTTGAATTCAAACTTCTCAGTTGTTGAAGTAATGATATTGTATTTTCAGGAAGGTAAAATAGCTGGAAGAGCTATATTAATAGCAGGACAACCTGGTACTGGCAAAACAGCTATAGCTATGGGTAAGTGGATATCACAACATTCTAGAATCTTTGGACAAATTTACATCTTTTAGCAATGTTACTTATTTACAATTAAAAAACCCCACAGACAATGTCAAACTATTTCAATTTGTATTTTGTAATACACTGTGATAAGTGTGAAATAATGAAATTTATGCAATTACAAAACTTCACACTGTTTAAATAGTGCTAAATGCATCAATTGTAGAACGATAACGAAAATAACATTATGACAAATGTATTTTCAGGTATGGCTCAAGCTCTAGGATCTGACACACCATTTACTAGTATAGCTGGTAGTGAAATATTCTCATTAGAAATGAGTAAAACAGAGGCACTGACACAGGCTTTTAGAAAATCTATTGGTGTCAGAATTAAGTAAGTTTTTATTCTCTAAATGTCTAATAATGATTAATGCAAAGGTGTGATACTTTGCTAGAAAACCTGCTGGTCTAGCGAAAACCTTTTTGAGAGCATGCCTTGGACATTATTTACAAAAACACAGGTTTCATGTGACTTCTAAATTTGTCTCATTATAGAGAAGAAACTGAAATTATTGAAGGAGAAGTGGTAGAGATACAGATAGACAGACCAGCTACAGGCACAGTGAGTAGTCTTTTCCTGAACAGATAATATCTGGACACAAAATTTTAAAAGAAAGATTAACTTATCCCAAAATATTACTATCTTAAATATAATTTTCTTTAATTATATTGTTAAATATCTAATGTAATGTTCTAAGATATTTTGAGTTATTGATACTTATGAGATTGTTTGGGAGAGATGTTCATTAATAAAAATTTATTTCTGGTTAATAGAAAAGCATTTGAAAAGCAGAATCCTCTACCACGTTGACAGTCAGATTTATTTTGTTTCTGATTACAGGGAGCTAAAGTTGGTAAATTGACATTAAAAACTACAGAAATGGAGACAATTTATGATCTGGGACAGAAAATGATTGAATCCCTGACAAAAGATAAAGTTCAAGCAGGGTAAATATCTTGGTTTAATCGTTTAATTTAGTAGCCTTCTCATAACCTTCCATTGTTACTAAGTTTTTTCGAATCAAAAAGAGACATTTTCCAGAATATGCATGCAGTGATATTCAGGTTTAGAGAGAATCACTAGATCTATTGTATTGAAGGGAGTTATTATGAAATATGAGAGAATCTGTATTCATTTGTAAATTGCATATTACAGAGATATCATCACAATAGACAAAGCATCAGGAAAAATCACCAAATTAGGCAGGTCTTTTACACGAGCTAGAGATTATGATGCTATGGGTCCACAGGTAATTTATTCACTTATATAGTTCTGTAATTTTTTCAATCAACATGATAGATGCAAACAGTAAAATTTCTGTAATATATATTATTCTCCTAACACCAGCATGTGTATGTGATAAAGTATGCAGTGTACTTGTTAGTCCTGTATAAATTTTTTTCATCTTAATTTAATAGTAAGGAACTGAATAAGTCGTCAAATTGTTTAGAATTAGTATTCTTATTTTCCAGACTAAGTTTGTGCAGTGTCCTGAAGGTGAACTACAGAAGAGAAAGGAGGTAGTACATACAGTAACATTACATGAGATAGATGTTATTAACAGTAGAACACAGGGTTTCTTAGCTTTATTCTCAGGTAGGCTTTATAACATCTACTTTTGGCATATATTTGATACTCACCTCCATTTTATTTCTCCTTTTAGTTTCCTTTTGAAATTTCCATGTTCTCTTGGTCAGAGACTCTGATGTTGAATGATCTTCTTGTTGACAACTAAGTTACTCAATTCAAGCATTGTACATGGTTAAAATCGAAAATATTACCTTGAAAACTACTCTTACGGAGTAGATAGTTATTAGTCAGTCTGCAAAGGACCAATACGAATATCAAAATAGACTCTTGTGAAGGAATGTTCGGTTACAAAACACAACAAAATTACAAATTAAAAATGTACGAAAGTAACAAAAAATTCAATGATTGGACACATGTTGAAGTTGCCATCATGCAAGAATAGTATATAAATCAAAGAAGTTTTCCTTATCTATTTTTTTTCTGTTGGATAGTTGTCTTGAACCAAGATAAATATATATTATTTTGACTATTCAGGAGATACTGGTGAGATCAAATCGGAGGTGAGAGAACAGATTAATTCTAAAGTAGCTGAATGGAGAGAAGAAGGCAAGGCTGAGATAGTACCTGGTGTATTATTTATAGATGAAGTCCATATGTTAGATATAGAATGTTTCTCCTTCCTTAACAGAGCTCTAGAGAGTGATATGGCTCCTATTTTAATAATGGCCACCAATAGAGGCATCACAAAGTAAGATTCCTTTCGAATTCCATATTATAACATCAGCTTTTTATCTTTATTTTCTTAATTGAATTTGTGCTCCTTTATTGTACATTCTGTGTGTGATAAATTTAAGTGTAGTGTGCTACACATAGTACCCAAACTTTCAGAACACATGGTGCCATTCTGTGACTGGTTTGTGAATCTTGCATCCCTTTCACAGAATCCATGTTGTCGAAAAAGCTAGAGATGTGAGGAATACTAGTCCTGTGAAATACAGCAATTGCCACTCTTTGAAACCATCCATAACTTTAGCTCTAAATGATCATTAACTCTGTTCCAGTGCTTTCTGTTCACTTGCTTAACTATTTAATAGTATAACTTGTACATGTGTACATTGATGATAATATTTATCGATTATAGAATTAGAGGTACCCAGTATAACAGTCCTCATGGTGTACCAATAGATTTACTAGATAGATTACTCATTATATCTACATCACCTTATGAAGAGAAAGAGATCAAACAGATTCTTAAAATCAGGTAGGGTATTCTTAGTAACATCTTGTAGCTGATATAAAATATTTTACTTCAATTTTGGTTTGTTTTGGAACTTCTCCATGAAAATTTCATTCAATCATTCAAGCAATGGAACATCCATGAATTTGTTGTTCCCTTGAGTTTGCTAGGGATTCCTTAAATTTAAGAAAATGAGAAAACTGTAATATATTAATAAAGATGCAGTTTTAGAATAAAAGAATTTGACAAGCCAAGATGCAATTCATGTCTCAAGCTGACAAAACCAAACCAAATTCAATAGGAAGACAGAGCTAGGTGTCTGTAGAAAGTCAAAGAGCTTCTTGCTAAATGTTCAGCAATTACAAATTAATTAGTTTTTATTAATTATAGATGTGAAGAAGAAGATGTAGAGATGAGTGATGATGCTTTGACAGTTTTAACACGTATCGGTATGGAAACATCATTACGTTATTCTATACAACTTATAACAACTGCTAACTTAGTCTCTAGAAAACGCAAGGTAAGTTATATTGAAGGTTAGAAATAGTCACAGGCTGTAGAACATCCTCCAAGTCTGGCAATAATATTTTGTTTTTATACACTGTACGATACAGAATTTAATAATAATCTCTTGTTGATAATGAGGGGGTGAGTAACATTAGATAACAGAAAATATTAGTAATAAATTACATAGTTCAGAAATTAATGTTCTTGGTCCATTTCAAATTAAGGCCATTAAAATAACATGAAAGTTGAAGGAATTATTAACAATGTCCTCTGTTAGAGAGGATAAAATCTTATCAGAACATTACTTGGATTTAAACTGTATTTTATTTTAACAGTAAAGATCCAAGAGGAATTGTTATCCTTTCCTTCATTGGACAATCAAATAAATTCTTGATTTTATTATTTTTTTAGGCAACTGAAGTTGAAGTAGATGATATCAAGAGAGTGTATTCGTTATTCTTAGATGAATCTCGTTCCACACAGTTCCTGAAAGAATGTCAGGAAGAATTTATGTTCAATGAAATTGGTAAGTGGTAGGTCATGACCTTTGAAATTTGTAAAAAATGTTCATAGAAAGTTCGATTTATAATTTTATGGATATAACATTTAATTTCTCTCATGTCAAATTGCTTTGAGTAAATCAATAACAAGGCAAGATTTATTAATAATTTGTGGGATTGAAGAGATATAAGAAAGAGTTCTGAGTGGATGAATGTACCAGCATTACACTTTCTCTATTGTGCTAACATGGGTGCATCTTGTGTAACAATTGATCCTTTGTCACAGCTGAGATAAGTGTTACTATCAATCTAATAATCTGTTTTTATTTTACAGGTGAATCAGAAACTATGGAAACAAGTTGAATTAAAATATACTAAATCATTTTATAATATCTTCCAATCATTGTGTATTATAGACATTTATTATATATACATGTATAGTACATTCAACTCTCATTGTCACCATTCAATTCATAGAGGATCATTTTGTAAAATCTAAAACTTTCAGTTTGCAGTTCACATGACTTATAAGTATCAGCATGCTCTTCAGTAATCTTATTGATAGATTTTCCTTTGGACATACTTAGCATTATTGACGTGAGTGCATTTTGACATTACTTACTTCATTACATTCTAATTACCTAGTAAAAAGACTGATTGTTAAGTTTATTGAGAGAGAGAAGTAATATTGTTAAGGATATCTTTATATGTATAGCTGGTTTCATTAAATCATTTTGTTAATACCCATGTGTTATTATCAATTACGGCTGCTCCATGGTGACAATGCAAATCTTTGCCTTTAACCCATTTCACAAACAAAGGTGTGCTCGTAGTTTCTTGACTCAAATATTTCTGCTATTTGGTCCAGAATATTTTTCTTACATACTTTATATGTCAAAAATCTTATTGACTGAAATAAACTCCCCAATCCTTGTCCATCTGATGAACTTGTATCCAAAACACAGGTCAACAGCATAGTATATTCCCTGGAGTTTTATAAGAAAAAAACTGGTTGATGTAATAAGATCTATTTGAATACATGATAAGATACAGATAATGTGTGTAAAAATTTGGTGACAAAGACATAAAATGCAACATGAAATGCCATGGCAGTGAAGTAGTTAAATTTCAAAATGCATAATGAAGTGCTGCAAATATCAGATTGCTTTTAGATAGATTTTTAAACAATAACATCATATTCTGATCCAATTTTTCTGGAATTACAGACATCCAGTTTGGAAATCTGAATACAAACTGTATTACAAAGGTTGGAAAATATCTTATGAATGTTACATAAGAAATACTGAGCACACTGCTTGCTACAGGTTATCAAATATTAGTATCCTTCCAGAGTTATCTACTTGATTGTGACCACCCCTACTTCACATGCAAGACATGAATGAAATAATTCTAGGCAGCAATACCATAATGATCATTAATAGCTTCTATTAGATCAGCTTTCTTTGTTCCATTAGCAGTTATCTTTTCTTTCTTAATCAACTCTTTTAGCACTGGTACTGTTAACTTGTTCAACTAGAAAACAAAAATAAGATATATTTACAATGAGGGAAAAAAGGGGACACCTAGTTGAAAAATATGAAAAGTATATTTATTCCTACCTATACTGAATTGAATTCTGAGCCTTAATGTCCAGTGAGTTGTTCAACTACTGCAGACCCATTCTCAATAGAATGAGAACTTTCAAAGTAAAATTTTGAAGAAAGTTACATTATTTTAAAACATATCTGATGGTGGGTGATGAACTTATCCTAGTTTCCACTGAGAAATAATCTTATAATGACTTACTCTTCCAGCCTGAGCCTCTTTCTTAACATCTATTTCTACCATAGCATCAGCTACTTTCTGCTTTTTAGCTGCTGCTGATTCACTAGTTGGTGCCTGAAACAAATCAAAGTATAACATAGGAACTGATCTGCCAAGAACCCAAAGTTACATAATACTAAACTATTGAAATATATTAACCATTACATTACAGTTTAGTAGACAGACAGGCTTGGATTTTTCTTCAACTGTGGCTTTATTAATGTTTATTATATTATCACTCATTAAGAATGGTGCCTCTTTTAGAGTAATAATAGATAAAGACCAATCAGCGCCATAAGTTTCGGTAATAAAATGCTTCATATTTCATGGGTTTGAAAACTGACCTTTCGTTTGACCCCAGGTTCATAATCAGGAGGAAAAACTAAATCTTTAAATTCATCCATTATTTTACCAGCCCTCTTCTGAATACCAGCTTCATTTGGCACTGAAGTAGATAATTATTAGAATTTTTATTTACGTGATAAGTTTTGTATCTTTCCTCATAAACACACTCTCACCAGTGTAACCTAGAGTCCTTAATCTTATTTCATCATTCTCTATCTTTAATGCCAAGTCTTCCAAAGTTCAACATTTCTTTTCCATATAATTTCATTCTTAACTCTGTCCTGATAATTTACCTATTTAATTCTTAACCCTGCCCCCTCTCAATACTTACTAGTATAGTCTGTCATCTCATCTGCTTCATCTCTATCTAAGGCCAGGGCCTCAATATTTCTCCAATGGTTTTGTAAAACAGGATTTTCAAAACTTTCACTATTAAATTTAAACTGTAATTTCTTGATCAGTTCTTTTGCTTTATCAATCTGTTCTGTTGTAGCTGAAAACAAGTTTATATCAATATTTTTACATTTAATTTTCGAAATCTCTGAAAAGTCACTGTGTTAAATCTTTCCTCTAACACTGGGTTGGAACACTGCCTTTTAAACGAATGGAACAGCTCGGTTGGTAGCGAGTTGAATTGTCTTGAAAGGCGATTTAAGTGCCGTTGGTTTGAATCCTTCTCAAGGTTAGAAAAATTCTTGTCACACTGTGAAAGTGTCACAGCCAGTGCTTTCGAAAGACAACTCGTTGTAGACTTTCAACTTCTTTACCAATACTCATCAGTTGATTAAAACAACTATATCCTTTCAAATTGATCAATATCCTACCTCGTGGAGCTTCTTCAAAAGTTACTTTTCTAAAATCATCAGCAAATGGTAAAAATATAACATGAAAACCTGGTGGAGTTATCTGCACTTTATGTTCATCTAACTCTTCTTTCTGAAAACAGATTTAGTAAGAAGGATCAGGAAATTTTGTCTTGTTGTTGGTGCTCGATTGGTTCCGTCTGTTACAATTCTAGGCACAAATTGAATGGTAATTAGCCTGATATGTCATACCTATTATTTTTCCTGTACATGTAGAATATTTCTTGTTTTAAACTTTCACTTGATTCAATGAAGGTATCTTGGATACTTGCTCAGCAACATTAATATTGAGTTATAGATTTTACGGTTAGGGTGCAAGCCCTATTCACACATGAATCTTTACAAAAAAAGTTTTAAGTGCAACTGGGCAAATACAATACAGGATTAAATAAAATAAGAAAGATGGACAACAATGTAGGAGTAAACTTGGCGTACCTGAGGTAGAAGAGCGACAAACCTAGGTGGATTATTTTTACCAGGTATGTATTGACAAATAGCTATAACACCACGATCAATACACTTAGTTAATAATGCTGTAAACATAGTCGTACTGCCTGATATTGACTGAATAATATAACATGGTTAGACTTTAATACAAATATCTATATTACACAATTACAAATTCAAATCTCAAACTATAACAAATATTTCATTCCCGTTACTAATGGTCTTTTTAAAATATATTTTTATGTAATATGAACTCAAGGGCAGCAACTCAGAAATCTACTGTTAAATTATTGTCACAATGTAACTAGTCTGGAATATCAAATTGATAAGAAATTTACTTACATCTTCATCAGGATAAATAAAAGATGAAGGTTTAACATTGTGAAATTTCTTTAATCTATTTTTTGGTTTAAAACCCATTAATTTTAATCCTAAAATAAAAATATCAGATTAAAATTCAAATATATAAATACAAAATACACCATAACTTAACTGTAAAATCCTTTAAATTACACAATTTTTGACACAACTGGTTTCGCTACTTTAAAAACAAAATTTCATTTCTGATTTTATATCTGATACTAGTGTTATCACCATGCAACATGGTCATGTCAATTACATATGGGTTTCGCTCCCATCAAGAGAGTTTTCTTATCTGCTCAGACCTTTACAAGAAACCTCAATTTCCAATAATAACATGAGATCTTGTCAACTAATTCCTCTTAATTCTTTAAGTTAATCATCTACCTGACACATCAAATCTCTTAATTTCTGTAACTTCATCATTTTCAAAACAAATTTTACGTCCACCATACGTTTGAGCTTTCTTTAAATCTTGTGGCATCAACACTTCTCCTGTTTCCTGTAAATCAAGAAATCCTGGCCTTGTTGAAAAATATTATTAATTACTAATAATTACTAATATACTGTCAATGTGGAAGTTCAAGTTCTGAATGATGTCTCATATGGAACATATGCAACAGATGGCTAGTAAAGAGTCGTCAAATATCCAGCTATTCTCAGACTTTGCCAATTACAAGGTCAACCTGAGACATTTTATACAGCAAAGACAAACTAAATGGGTAAATTGGAATGGGAAAATCATTACAGCATTTTCTGATTTTTTATTGATTTTATAAACTTACCTTGAGGTATGTTTTACTGTGACTTTTTAATTCTTCATTAGTTTTTTTGTCTAGTTTGATACTGTATGGTTTGGTACAATGTCGTACTAGATTATACCTACAAATATAGAATAAAACCAATAACCATTGTCCAGTTATCAAAACATGGTTCTGTGTGACATTAAGGATATATTACCTGATATTTTTCAAATGTTGTTATTTCACTCTGTAAGTCAACAACTGAGCACTATTTTAATGGTTATGCAAATTTTTTGTAATCTTAATTTTTAATTACATAAGTAATAAAGATTAAAAATTCTAGCTGCAGTCTTGATATTTACTTGACCAATGGATAAAACATAAATATATCTCTTCCAGAAAAATTTAACTTGAGATAACTTACACTCCAACGGAGAATTTAATATCATCAGATAAAGAGAATGGAACTCTTCTGAATGCTCTCTTCTTATGATCTTTAGTTCTTACTCTGAAATTATAAATGATGGTTTGCCAGGCTTATGTGTTCCTACACATCAACCTTGTTTAAATTAAATCTTTAATCTACTGTATCATAGTATAATATATAATGTTTTTAGTACATTGATGGCTAAAACTTATGTTGAATATTTAAAACAACCAGAATAATAAATGTGTAAATCTCACTATGATTTGTCTTTATACTATAATGAACCATTTCAATAATTTCACGAAGGGAAAAAACACAATACCACTCAGAGTACAAACCTGGTTAAAAGTTCTTCAAGTTTTTCAGAAGGGTCTGGTAATTCAGTCAACTCATCATCAGCTGTATAGATTAAATCCTGAAAAACATGTTAACAAACTGATATAAAGTTCTGGCACATATTACACATAACAATCTAACACTTAAAATCTGTCATCTTCATGGTAAAATCTCCAACAGATTTTCATTTAAACAACCATATGCTAGTCATGGTGTCAGTTTTATTATTGCTTGTTTTAACTCTAGAATGAGATTAATGATTCTATAAGTATCTGCTTATTAAATTCATGTCATGTAAAGACCCATTGGCATATTCCTATAAGAAATAATACAGTATTTGGTTTTCTTACAATATGAAAATTTATCTGTTCATTCATGATGAAACATCAGGATGTAAAGTGGTAAGAACAAGGTTTTACTGTTGGTATGATTCAAGGTTAATATGAGGTCTATTTCTGTGTAAATTACCTTCCAGAATTTAGAAACATCAAAAGTTTGTCCTTGTTTCTGCATGTGCATCAATTCTAAATCAATTCCAGTTTCATTTAAATCATTTGCTTTAGTTCTTGCTTGTCTCTTTAATAGAAATAATAAAGAAAACATGAAGTAGTATATAAACTGACTGATATGAACACATCCTATCATACTATATAATGAATAGGGGCAAACAGCAAAATAATGTAATGCTATGATGAAATTATGCCAAACCATCTAAGCCATTTTGTTAATTTTGCTATGAATTTTATCAGTCTATGACACAAGCTTTGACACTCTTACAATCCAAAAGACTGTTCATACTTAAACATTAGTTTCTATTATCAATGTAAGAACTCTTTGTCAAATATTAATAGGAGTAATTTCAGCAAGGTTTAAACGTACCTGTAACTGAAGACTACTAGAATGTGGATCATCATTATTAGTAAATAATAACACTCGTTTATAGTTTATTTTCTGGCTCCTAAAAATTTCAAAACAATGAGTACATCAAATCTCCGTCTAGTTAAGGGACAAAAATTTCAAAAAAAATTCAGACATTTCATAGTTTTGACTGGTGAAAAAATAAAAACAGTAACAAAAAACAACACCACGCTCTTAGCCCTCTTCAACCAAGAATCAACTTGAATGGTTGATATGCGTGTGAAATTTGTAAATGCAGAGTTTGTTTAAAATTGTAATTACCAAAAGAAATAAGTCAACTTACGAATTAGAAAACATATTAGCACAAGTCCAGAGAACTTCACTGATAGAATAATGTTCATTATGACCATATTTTGTACCAAATTTTTTATATCCATCTGTAATATAACATTTCAATTAAACAAATGAATGTACATATACATCTTTATTGCAAGTATTTCTAAACCTGAGTTCTGTATCAGATAAAATCAATTTTGTCATAAATAGTTTCTCTACGTAAAATTTCACAATAATGACAAATTCTTTGACAATATTAATAACTTACTTTCTATCATATTCTCTATTTCTAAAATTCTTTCAGCGCCGGGCTGCTCTAAATTCTAAACAAAGAAAATAAGAAAATTATTTTAAAGTACATATTCATTTTTATATTTTGGAATACATAAGCAAAATCAGTTTGATCCAAAATGACATGTCAATGCAACATTGAATAATGATCAAACATGACATGTCAATACAACTTTGAATTATGATCCAACATGACATGCCAATACAACATAGAAAGGTGAACCAACATGACATGTCAATACAACATAGAGTGGTGAACCAACATGACATGTCAATACAACATAGAATGATGAAGTAATATGACATCTCAATATAACATAGAATGGTGATCCAACATGACATGTCAATACAACATAGAATGGTGATCCAACATGACATGACAATACAGACATAGAATGATGAAGTAATATGACATCTCAATATAACATAGAATGGAGATCCAACATGACATGTCAATACAGACATAGAATGATGAAGTAATATGACATCTCAATATAACATAGAATGGTGATCCAACATGAAATGTCAATACAACATAGAATGGTGATCCAACATGACATGCCAATACAGACATAGAATGATGAAGTAATATGACATCTCAATATATCATAGAATGGTAATCCAACATGACATGTCAATACAACATAGAATGGTGATCCAACATGACATGCCAATACAGAAATAGAATGATGAAGTAATATGACATCTCAATATAACATAGAATGGTGATCCAACATGACATGTCAATACAACATAGAATGGTGATCCAACATGACATGCCAATACAAGCATAGAATGGTGATCCAACATGACATGTCAATACAGAGAACTCAATACAGAAAACTAAACCTACCATATAAATGTAGATATTTTTAAAGTCACTTGGATTGTCTGTTTTTTCCTGAAAGAAAACAGAGACTAAATATTACCAAATTCAAAATATGTATGTAATATTTTAGAAAAATGATATGAACTTTAGGATGAATTAGATAAAACTTTAAATGAAAAAACAATATACATCATAATATTCATGAGTTCTACTTGTCCAACTTCAGTAGAGATGCAGGTCAGTTGTCAGAAGATTGCATGGCATGAAACTTCTTTAATATTTCTATATAGATGATGTATTAAAATAAAACATAGCTTTCTTGACAAAACATAAGCTCAAACAGCATCTAGGAATATGTAATTCACAAGAAAATGTCAACAGAAGAACGAACCCCCAGGGGTGATGGAAATATACATCCACATTTTTATGTTGTGTACAAATAGTATACTTACAGTTCCATAAAAGATAACTCCTACCATATCTCTTTCACTACTGATAATTTTATTCTGCATGGTAGTTTTTATACACTGAAATATATATCACAATTTAAGGTTGTGAGTCCATTAGAATATAAATCATAGATCTTCTCAATACAAGAACAGTTCCGGTAGTATGGGTGAAATAAGGGATGACATGAGCACAAACCAAGTGAATATGCGGTAAAACAGGGTCTGGGTGTATTCAAAAAAATAAGTCAACATAAGACACTTCTAAAGTTTGGTAGTTGTCTCAAAAGAGTGGTATCTGCCTTATTTGTTTTCATTATGTCACAGCCATGAAGGATTTGGTGAAAGACATAGGATTTCAGGGAATGGTGAGACTTGGGTACTTTGTGGTGTAAAGAATAATATTAATCCTTACCCTCATACAGACTCTAAATGGGCATTCTTCTTCATCTTCAGCATCAAACATTTCTTTATTACAATCAACAACAAATATCAAACCATCACGATTTCCAAACCGTAACTACAATAAATTATATCTATTATATTCAATAATGCCCATTATGAGCCCAGGTTGAAATATTTGCAGAGCTTAGTAGACCTTATATTTTCAGTGTGTTTTCACAGGATTAAACTGATACTTAAACCAAAAATTAAAAATAATTTGGTAAACATACCCCTGGATCAAATTCATCATCTTCTTCATTATCATCATCATCACCAAATCGTGCAAAACCAAAATCAGCCATACCTCACTTGTTAGTTAGATGACTCTGTAAGTGTAATATCAGAAGGCGAATAAAAACAAAGTAAAAGAATAATAAGACACATAATCATGAAGACATAGTAGGCCAATGACAACAAATATTCAGACCCAAGTGTTCTTTTCATACCTTCCTCAGTATGAAATTACCTTAATACTTAGCCCTAAGTGAATTTGACATGCGATGTACTGTTACTGTGCATAATAAAAACTTAAAATTGAGTTAAAGAAAATTGCAGATTAAGATTAAGCACATGAAAATCTTGAACTGATGAACCAATCTGGCTTATTAAGAGAATGTTAGAGAATAGGCATAATATAGGATAAGGATAAACAGGGAAAGACAACTCCATTTTTAACAATTTTATATAAATTTATAAGGAATTTACAAATTCATTATTCATTATTTGTCAACCCTAAAGAGCTGTCAGTTTCTTAATAAATATGTTCAGAAAGGACTACCAAGCGATTGTCAATCGAAAAATATGTCATATTTTAAATAAATATGCAGCCACAAATGAAATTTCCTCAAATATAAACCGGGTTTTGTTTACCTGTAGCAACTCGCGTCCAACACTACAATCTTTTCGCGCCACACATGCGTGTAAAATTTTGACTTCCGGCGGCCGTTTTGTTGATGGAATTTTTCCTGAAAACTTTAAAAATTCCATAAAATGGCGTATAATTATGTAGTTACAGCTCACAAACCCACTGCAGTAAATGCATGTGTTACAGGTAAAATCCAACACAAATCATATCATTGCCCCTATTGATGTCGATTTTGCAAAGTCACCCTTTTCATGAACCAAAATACCATGCTCCACATTTATAATTGTTTATTTACCTTTTTGTTAATGATACCCATTTAAGATTAATCCTACCTAATTGATTGTTTTTATAAGTAATTAGTCTCAAAGAATATGATTGCAATCTGGGAAACATCAGGAGTAGTTGTAAGCTGGAATGGTTTGCATCATACCATACTGGTACAATTTAAGAAAACATAATAAAATCGCTGATATTCAGCCAATATTTGTTTCGGATGGTAAATACTAGGACTAACGATAGTTATTAGATTAGAAACCAAGCAGTCAGGCCTTCAGGCCTTGATAAGGCCTATTTATACTAGTACATGAATTGAATAGATATCTTAAAGAATTATGATGTTTTATATAACTGGTGAAACTCTGACATTACAAATTAAAACAAATACATTTCAGGAAACTTTACCTCTCCCAATGACCTGAATTTAATCATTGCTAAGAATACGCGTATGGAAATATATGTTGTAACACCAGAAGGATTAAGACCTATTAAAGAAGTTGGTATCAATGGAAGAATTGCTGTTATGCAACTATTTCGACCACCTGTAAGTAAAAATATCTGTGCTTATTTTGGAAAAAAATGGCCATATTAATGGTCATTTGTTTTGTGGATCGGAATTTAGCAATAAAAACTGACATTTTTACATGTAAACTGCTGTCCACAAGTTCAAGAGCTGATATTTGTTGTTAGGAATGTATTTAAAATGTCCTAAAACATGAAAAATTATATATTATGTTTTTTCACAGTAAAGAAACTACAATTACTTCTGATTTTTGAATCACAAATGCTCTGATACAAGATGAAAAAAAACAAATTTTCTTTCAGGGAGAGTCTAAAGATCAGTTATTTCTACTCACTGCTAGGTATAATGCTATGATATTAGAATGGCATCAAGAAGGGGATGTAATGGAAATTATAACAAAAGCACATGGCAATGTACAGGTCTGTAAACATAAATTCTGGCTAAACTTAACTACATGTGACTTGTAAGAAGAATCTTTCCTTGATGATCAATAAACATATAGATAAATTTCTTGTCATTGATAGAATAAGACAGGTTTTCAAGGTCGTCAATTATTTATATGGAGCTTAGAATTTGTATTTTCATGTAGAATGCTAATATCTACTAACTAAATGATACTCAAATAATAGTCATGTTTATTCAACTCTTAATTTCCGATAACTGCAACTGTATCTGATATTAGTTTAAATTATTTTGAATTTCAAGCCATTATTTTGGTTTTTTTTACAGGATAGAATAGGCAGACCATCAGAAACTGGTATTATTGGTATCATAGATCCACTATGTCGAGTTATAGGTCTCCATCTTTATGATGGACTGTTTAAAGTTATCCCCCTTGACAGAGAAAATAAGGAATTAAAGGCATTCAATGTCAGGTAAGGATACTGATGCATTTTGTAAATGATGTTGTATTAATCAAATGATATTTCGAATATTACTTACATGATATAATGCCAATGTTATTGTTGATTATAGATTAGAAGAGTTAACAGTTATTGACATGAATTTTCTTTATGGATGTCAACAACCAACAGTTATACTAGTCCATCAGGTAAATAGATTGGTAAACAATTTTTTTGTGGACATGAATCTTTATTTATGTCCTCTGTCAGTGATATTAATTGTTACTGTTACATTTCATTCAATTAGAACACCTAATGCCACTGTGGTACTGGGTATATGAAGTCAACATAATGCATCTTTGGTATTTTCTTTATATTCAATGCCATGAATAATCATTTAGTTTTATAGCGTACCAGAGACATGTTTCTAATTGACCTAAAATTAGACTTAAAATCTTTGTTTTATTCAAGGATCAAAATGGCCGCCATGTCAAAACATATGAAATATCATTACGTGATAAAGAGTTTCTGAAAGGTCCATGGAAACAAGATAATGTTGAAACAGAAGCTTGTATGGTCATATCAGGTTTGTTTTTTTTTAAACCCAATAAATTGTAATTTTCATCACTTAATGTGTATGTTTTTATTGAAAATTTGAAGACATTTGACTAGATATCTGTCAATGATTTAAATCAAAAGCTATTTATCGTCTTGCCTGAATGAGTCCTTTCTAAGACCTAAAATGGTGCAGAAGTCTTGTATGTGACATCAAATTGTCATTGTTATCTTCCCTCATTCCACATCACATTATTTTACTATTCATTTTACTATTGGTTTAAATTGAAATTTGAAGTCTAAATTTTGTCAAATAGTAGCAGTTGTTGATTGCATTGAATTTCTAATACTTTCAGTACCTGAACCATTTGGAGGAGCTTTGATTGTAGGACAGGAGTCTATTACATATCATAAAGGAGATAACTATATACCTATAGCACCACCAGCTATCAAGGTAAGTGATATTAGATGGAGGTTGAGGGGGGAGTATTACATATCATAAATGAGATAAGTCAACTGAAGATATATCATTACCCATTGTACTAGTATAGTTTGAAATCAAGCAGGCCTTTTGAATATAGATCAGAATCAGTAGATCTAAGGTGTGAAAATATTGCAGTTATGAGTTATCACACTTAATATGTAATGAAATTAATTTGGCTTGCAGTCTATGAAATGAATATTAGGTGGTGATTCTATACATATTGAAATATTTATTGATAATTATATCTAGCAATAAAGTCTTTGAATGGCATTTACCAATTGTGAGTACGATATATAAGACACAGCTTTATGGAACAACAATCACTGGTTAAAGTTTTATGCATTATGTGCCTGAGGAAGACGGGGGAAACACTGAAAAAAACTTTAACTAGTGATTGTTGTTCCTTAAAGCTGTGTCTATATATTATATCTAGCAATTTACTGTCTGTAAAATAGGTATAAATGTTCTATTTTCAGCAATATGCGTTAACTTGTTATGGTAAAGTAGATTCGAATGGTTCAAGGTATTTACTAGGTGATATGGCAGGAAGATTATTTATGTTATTATTAGATAGAGAAGAAAAGATGGATGGTAACTCTATTGTTAAAGATATTAAAGTGGAACTCCTAGGAGAGGTTAGTAGTGTCTATTTGTTAGCATACTCAGAAAATAACTATGTTAAAGAAATTATGAGATAACTGAGGACTGACATTGTCAATCATATTAGTAATCATTTTATCATTGGTTAACCAATTGAAACAACCTTGCCCTTGTCTAATCTCCATTTTATAAGTCTGTGTTTTATTTTATATTTATAAAAAATGATTATATGTTTAATATTTCAGACAACAATAGCAGAATGTATAACATATTTAGATAATGGTGTTGTATTTATTGGTTCTAGACTGGGTGATTCTCAATTAGTCAAGGTAAATAATTCTTACTTTGTATAAACTATGGCAAGGAAATTATATTATTCACTGTCCTAGTCAAGTTCATTTGTTTTATGTCTGATTCTGTTTCTCATAGAAGTTTATGGTTCTAAATAATCTGTAAAAGTTTTGATCCCATTAACCTTGTGTTTTGGATAAATTCCATTGATCTTATTTTCGACATTATTCTAGCTCATCAGAGACCAGGACTATTCATGTTCTTTTATTTTCATGTTTGTAGTTAAATGTAGATCAAGATGATAATGGATCCTATGTTCAAGTGATGGAAACATTCACCAATCTAGGTCCTATAGTTGATATGTGTGTAGTGGATCTAGAACGCCAAGGTCAAGGACAGGTAAGTTACTCTACAGGTAGTACAAGTTGTCAAGGTCGAATGTTAGGTAGTTTAAACATATTTGCCTCCAATATTTTTTGATCATCACTTCTTACACGTTTAACTAAGATCTTGATGTTGTTATATATGAACCTAATGAAAAGTATAAAGTTTGTAGAATCTGGAAAGGGTAGAGATTGACATTAGATGTTTTTAAAATATAAGCATCCACAATAATGATTATAGTGGAGCTCATGTTCTGAAACTTGCAATGCCTTCTAAATATTTTGGTTCAAATTGTCCATTGTCATTGTTTACTTCCATGCTTCTTTTAAATCAACTTTCTTATTTTTGTAGTTAGTGACATGCTCTGGTTCCCATAAAGAGGGATCATTACGTATTATCAGAAATGGTATTGGTATACATGAACATGCTAATATAGATCTCGCTGGTACCAAGGGTATCTGGCCTTTACGTCTTAATGGTACTAAATATGATGATATGTTGGTCTTATCTTTCGTTGGTCAAACTAGGTAAGCTACTTCTATAATGTCATGATTAGAAATGTTTGTGGTCTAGATTGCAGTTGTGAATTATTGCACAAATTGTGTACCAAATCGTTTAAAAATCTGTATTAAATGATGTATTGAATAACTAGATAATTTGAATATGGCAGAGTGAATGTTTTCTTAACATATATTAAATTTAAAATATCAAAAAAGTTCTGAGATTTATTCTGAATTCTATTTAAAGGGTTTTAGCTTTAAATGGAGAAGAAGTAGAAGAAACAGAATTACCAGGTTTTGATGCTGATACACAGACTTTTTATTGTGGAAACGTCATAGAAAATCAACTTATTCAGGTACAGAAATCTGTAATTACTCATTATTATATCATTATTAAAGCTATCATGGTCTGAAAACTGAAATTGAAAAAATTAATATGCCATATTTTCAGGCTCAATTTTAGGTCCTAATCATAAACTGTGGTTATGTTATTTGATTTGATTTCTACTCCAAAATAACACATAGGATTTAATTAAGGAATGATCTAAAATTTTAATCATGTCCTAAGAGTTCTAATGTTATTGTAGATAACTACAGCAGCAGTACGACTAGTAAACTGTGGTAGTAAAAGTCTGGTAGCTGAATGGAGACATAAAGAGGGTAAAAATATCTCTCTAGCTAGTTGTAATGCTTGTCAGGTTGTTATAGCTGTAGGTCGTGATGTTTATTATCTAGAAATACAGTCAGGTCAAATTACAGAAATAAGGTATGTTATTCTTCAGTAATGTTACCTACAGTGACTGAGTAAGTAAGATGCTTGCATGCTTACCTAGAGATCAAGAGCTCGAGCCTGGACTGGTTCAATTTGAAAATAGAATGCATAGCATTGCCCAACCAAACAGAGAAACGAAGGATATTCATTTCATTTTATGTTAAAAATTGGTTTGTTAAAAAATACCTCAGCATGTTATTGATTGTTTTTTTGATTTTATTAAAGTAATGCAACAATGGAACATGAAGTAGCTTGTATAGATATTAGTACTTTAAAAGAAGGAGAGAAGTCAGAACTATGTGCTGTGGGTTTGTGGACAGATATTTCAGCTCGTGTTTTACGTTTACCAAATCTACAGACTTTACTAGTAGAGATGCTGGGTGGAGGTAGGATGTTTATATTTTATATTATTTAGTTGTTTAATGTTAGATAGGACTGTCATTGGTTTAATGGACCTTATTCTCCATATAAAATAAAATGATTATCATTATAAAATGTTCAATTGATAAAGTTAAATACAGCAATTCATATCACTTTTCATAAAGAAATCTGACATAAGATATGTCTACCATTCAATGTATAAGTAGAAGTGACAGTACCCATTTAGTATGTAGATATTCATTATTTGTTTTATTAGGTAACAGATTGTGATAAAATGATTATGTCACTGTAAATTTTGTCCTACATTTCATTACTGAAAGAAGATTCTCTATTATTGAAAAATATTTAATTTTCTATTTCAGAAATTATCCCAAGATCTATATTATTAACAACATTTGAAGGTGTACATTATTTATTGTGTGCTCTAGGAGATGGTTCCTTGTTTTATTTTAATCTTGATCCAGCTACAGGTACTCTTCTTGACTTTTCTTCTTATTGAAAAATAAGAATGTAGACTATCTCAAAATATGACCGAAATATCACATGTTCAGTTCTGAATAAATTTGACAATTTTTGTCATCTATAAAACCATCATGAATACACATCGTAATATTTATGTCTTCTGTTAACTTCCATATTTTAAGACTGCTTAAACCTTATATCTGAAGAGTTTGTTTTATGGTTGGAACAAATTTGAAAATAGACCTTTAAAGTCCTCCAAACTTGGAATATTTCTTGATTCAATTCATTTCCAATAACTATGTCAAATACCTCAAATATATCTTGCCAGTATAGCTTGACTAAGAGCTGAAAAAGGTCTGATCTGAATTAAATATACAACTGTCCATATTTATGTTTCAGGGTTTTTACGAGATAAAAAGAAAGTGACATTAGGAACACAACCTACAGTTTTACGAACATTTAAATCACTGGCTACGACTAATATCTTCGCGTGTTCAGACCGTCCTACTGTCATCTATTCCAGTAATCATAAACTAGTATTTTCTAATGTTAATTTACGTGAGGTTAATCACATGTGTCCCTTAAATTCTGAAGGCTATCCAGACAGGTAGGAAACATATTTTATTTCAATTGATGCTTGAGTGAAATAAATGGGAGAGAGGAAATGGTTATATCGTTGATTTTCCTGGTAATTTCGCTCTTAGATAATGAACCCAAAGAGGCTGTCTTATTGCTCTACCATGGGTATTGCTATCCCACAATTCATCCTACATGACATGCTATGATTGGTTAATATCACAAACAAATGAAGAAATACAATTGTAATTTAGATAATGCTATTTTTAGAGTGGATGGTTACAATCTGACAGCTATAATTAAGCTTTTTAAACTAAGAAAGTAAATACATAGATGAGTATACCAGTGTTAATCGATAGTATTATATTATTATTTCAGTTTAGCATTGGCTAATGATTCTACTCTGATGATTGGTACTATAGATGAGATCCAGAAACTACACATTAGAACTATACCATTGTGGGAGTCACCTAGGTAATTATTTATTATATATATATATACCATATATCTTATATAAAGCTTTTAACTCAAGTAATTAGAAGACTATGTTTTGAATAGAAGCATGTGATGCACTTGTTAAAGATCTCTTCAATAGCACACATGGTGTAGAAAAGTAGGACGTTAAACACCATTCATTTGGTTTGAGAAGTAGAAAAATAATATTTTCAGTAAGGTGCAAAATAATGAAACTAGAAATATCATTTTGTTCCCACCATGAGCATAATGATACCAAAAATGTCATTTTGCTAGACCAATAAAATGTTGAACAATATGACGTTGACAGGCATAATGTACATAATGATGTTTTTTCAGGCGTATAGCGTATCAGGAATCGTCTCAGACGTTTGGTGTAATATCAATGAGAACTGATATAATGGATAATAATGAAGCCACACCATCAAGACCTAGTGCTAGTACCCACGCAGCTAATGTCTCAAGCAGTGCCAACTCTAAATCTTTACGAAGTTTGGCGTCTGATGTTTCGTATGGTGATGAGATTGAAGTTCATTCACTATTGATTATAGATCAACATACATTTGAAGGTAAGTCACTTTTGTTCATTGTGGCAGTTTCTCCCTTTATTTGTCTTGTTGTATTGTTTGCTTGTAGGGTTCAATATGAGACTATTTTGAGTTATTATCAAAGACAACTGTTTACAGTATCATGAAGTCAATTTGATATACTTTCTGTCTAAAATTAAAATAATTCTATGAATGATATTGCTTGTCTAAATATATATCATTGTATATCAGATTTGGAAAGATTATCTAACCTAACACCATCATAGATTGAAAATAAAATTTATTTTTTTAATTATTTCAGTATTACACTCCCATCAGTTGATGAATAATGAATGTGCTACTAGTTTAATATCAGCTAAGTTAGGAGAAGATAATAACTATTATTATATAGTTGGTACAGCTCTAGTACATCCTGAAGAGGCTGAACCTAAACAAGGCAGAATTATTGTCTTTCAATATACTGATGGTAAGTTGGGTAATATATTATATAGGTTTTAAACCATCCTCAGTCTGTAACGAGTTAGATTGTTGTCTGCTAGTTGGTTCCAAGCCTCCTCAAGAGGTAAGAGTAATTCTGTCAACACTGTGTCGTTTTTACCCTCCTATCACTAATGTGGTTGAAAGAAAAAAAAACTTATATATATATATATATATATATATATATTTAGAATGATCTTATTTTAGCAGATTAGAATGTTTCTGAAAAATCCTATCATTAAAAGAGGCATTGATCTAATGATAACAATAAATTTTGATATTTGCCTGTCCATAGCATAAAATATAATAAAATATCATTAAATTTAGTCCAGATCAGTTATTCTAACAAAAGCTCTGTAGCATTGTACAAGTTGTCTCTTGATTATTGTTTGATATATCCTATATAATATTACAGGTAAATTAAGTCAAGTTGCTGAGAAAGAAATAAAAGGAGCAGCCTATACTCTGGTAGAATTTAATGGTAAATTACTGGCTAGTGTTAACAGTACTGTAAGTATGGTTTAATATTCACCAACACAGAATAATATTTCATAGCTGACTTTTCTATTATGCAATCTAGCAATAACTGAACTTTAAATTATCTGATATTGTGGAGATAGTACCTTTTTCTACAGTGATTCAGAAACAGAAGCCAGGTACTGGTGGAACAGGAGGCTAATATGATTTATGACTATAACTTGACTATAAAAGCCCACTTCATTTGGGTTCAATGAGGATTGTTCCTTGTCCTCTCCCTTTATATCATATCAATATTTTTTCAGGTTCGACTATTTGAATGGACACCAGAGAAAGAGTTGAGACTAGAATGTAGCCATTTTAACAACATTATAGCATTATATTTAAAAACTAAAGGTGATTTTGTACTAGTAGGAGATCTGATGAGATCTATATTATTACTAGCTTATAAACCTTTAGAGGGAAATTTTGAAGAAGTAAGTAAATTAGTTTTAAGTTTTAAGTTTGCATTCGTAAGCCTGAAATATTAAGATGTTAGCTCCACTATATTAATTGTTATGGCTAGTTAAACTATAGAGATATGCTAATCAAGTGCCTCTCAAATCCCGATTGTTACACAATGTATCATTAGGATGGATAAGGGCAGGTGCTAATAGTTTACATTGAAAGCCAATTAATACCTTGATCAAACTTCTATTGTCTAAAGTTATTAACACCTTGCGGCCCTGACACTTATCCCTCTTTGTTCTAAGCGCGGCTAAATTAACTTATACAAACAAGATTATACTTTGTGTTCT